AAAGGTGGCTACAGGGTCCGGTCAAGGAGGACCACGCTTCCCAGACGCAAGTTTTTTTGGTTCATTTCTATAACCGAGCGCAATGACGTTAAATGTGAGATGTAAAACTCCAAGGAGGTCCCTTTGCTGTGTGCCTCATCCCAAAATCCTTCTGTTCTACGCAACGGCGGTGCTGCCCTCATCCTTCTGTTTCCAGTGACGGATAGAGAAGGTCGGGTCATTCCCGCTTGCGAAGACGCAAGAGCGATAGCGCGATGGTGGCTCTTCTCCAACTCCTACCCCGTCCTCTTGCCTTTTAGTGAGACATTGACATGAGATGATCGACACTTGATACTTTAAATTCGTTTTTTTCCGCATCTCATGGGCAGGTTGGCTTTGGTCAGCTTTGACTTTGGAAGATGACTTCTTTTCTGGTGTCCACACTCACGTTTAGAGGTTTGAGCACGTTGGAGTCTTGGCTATTTTGGATGAGACAGGCACGATTCGATCATTCCATAATTACAAAGTTCCTTTCTGGGGGTAAATCCATCCACCCAACCCACAAAGAGCTTTGAAGGGAACGGAGAGCAAAGGTAACCAGTTGCCCCCAAACTCCTCCTCCTCTCTCTGACCCAAACGTTGCTGGAAGAAGTCAGCAATGAAGCAGAAGGAAACTTTTTTCCCCCCCTCTAATCCCCTGGTGCTGCTTTGAGTCGATGAATGGAATGAAAGAGCATATTGTGCCGCCGCTGCCCCCTCGGTTCCCTTGTGTGTCCCCTTCCCCGTCGGCCCGAAACCTGGAAGGAGGCTTTGCGAGTTCCACTTCAATATTTCAGACGGCTACAACGGATTTGGCAGCTCAGGGTTGAGTAAACAGACCTCGCTTAAGCCTGGACTGCTTCATTTTGACTAAACCCTCATCAAATAAGCCCGTTCCACCAAGCGCCGGCCTCCCGGCTTCATTAACACCTTTTAATCCCATCGAGACAATCGTACGCCTCTCGAATTACCCTTCCCAGGCCCGGGTCAACGTCTTCTCTGTAGCACAGCAGGTCAGGGAGGTTCTTGAATAACCCACTGCTCAGCTCATCCCCATCCGGAGAGCTCGGAGTTGGGCTGACGCTTCTCCTCCGGAGCCATCGGCAGAGCGAGCGGTGCCCGGAGCTGCCAGAGGGATGCTCGTTAAGGATTAACGGAGAATTAGGGGTTGGGGTGTTCTACCAGGACTGAAGTCTGAGAAATTAAGAGCGTGAAATGTCTGAGAAGATATAGGAAGATCTCAGAGGTCCTCGGCGGCGTGCCGGAGCCAGGCACTTGGCTGCGGTTCCTCTTCCCGCTGCTCCGTGCTTTAAAAGTTTACTGAATGTTGTTAAAAGAAAATTGTTGATGGTGAAAAAGAGGCAGTGAAGCTGTAGGTTGGGTGGGGGACTCAAATAATGGAATTGTTTTTCATAGAGGATGACAGAATCACAGAATCTTAGAATGATTTGGGTTGGGAGGGACCTTCAAGACCATCCAGTTCCAACCCCCCTGCCATGGGCAGGGACACCCTCCACTACACCAGGTTGCTCCAAGCCCCATCCAACCTGGCCTTGGACGCTTCCAGTGGTGGGGCAGCCACAGCTTCTCTGGGCAACCTGTTCCCTTGCCTCCCCACCCTCAGAGGGAAGAATTTCTCCCTCAGATCCCATGGAAATCTCCCCTCTTCCAGTTCAAAGCCATCACCCCGTGTCCTGTCACTCCACACCCGTGTCCAAAGCCCCTCTCCAGCTTTCTTGGAGCCCCTTTAGGTACTGGGAGGTGCTGGAAGGTCTCTCCAGAGCCTTCTCTTCTCCAGGCTGAACACCCCAACTCTCCCAGTCTGTCTCCAGAGCAGAGGTGCTCCAGCCCTCCCATCATCTCCGTGGCCTCCGTGGAAGAGACCTTCAAGATCACCTAAGGGTCTTCCCAAAAGAAGTAGGATGTAGATGGTCCTGCTGCCGCCGAGGCTCTTCTCTTCTCCGGGAGCGTGCGGAG